TGTATCTGTAAGCCTATTATTTAAAATTTTTTTATTCTATTTTAGTGTTATATCTACTAACAAAGGAAATTATTAACCTTTATCACTCTTTATGTGATTTCATTTGTTGTGCATTGAATTTGAATTTCCTACCACTGAATTTGAATTTCATAGTTGTGTTGTCATATCCTGCTATGGCAACAGAAAACACCTGCGCGTGAAATCAACATTAAGCTTACTGCAATTGAAAAAAAAATGCAGTAGAAAAGGAAGTAATACAAACAATGCAATGTGCTAAAAGTTAAATGTGACTGCTTTGATCAGTCTATATTTTGTGTGTGAATACAGGCAAGTGTATATGTATTGGTACACGCTCAAATAACTATAAAGTTTTGTGTAACATCAAAAAAGAAACTTGTCAAAACTTGTTTATATATATATATATATATATGTGTATGTATTCTGACAAAATAAATTATATTAGTTTTCATACGATGCATAAAATTATGAAATATTTGATTAATTATTAGGCATCTTATAGAGACTGTTAGTTTAATGATATATGCATGCATGCTGTTAATATAGGCTCTTTTGATTTGGTTAATGACAAAAAGCAGTAAAACAAAATGACAACTGAATATTAACCAGCTGATCTATAGTAATTGCATAAGCTAACACTGCTTAGTAATCATATTTATTGTATATTTTTAAATGTCATTTCAGCTTAAATTTATTTATTTGAATCATAACCTTGACTGAAGCCAAGGCAAACTTGTTTATACAAGATTTATTGATATGATGAACAGAAAATGAGGTAATGACGTGTTTTGAAAATAACAAAGAAAATGTTATGATAGCTAAATGTCAGTGAACAATCATAATAAAATGGAAAAACAAACATCTTGATATAAATAAGGTAAAGTGCCAGACATTAAAAAAAAAAAAAAAATATCAACCTTATTCATAGAAATTATATTTTATCCATAAGTGCTTTTTTTTATATTTTCATATAATAAATTATTTCTAAACTTAAATCTGAACTGAATATCATTGAATTTTCAAACAAAAAAAAATTGTCAGCTTAGTAGTAGTTAATCAAATGACATTGCTTTGCTTGCTATTACCAAATTGTCACCAAAGATTATTTCTCATTAGAAAAGATGTTGCTTTTTGTGGTTATTTTACCTATTTTAATAAAGCAAAATCCATTTTTATTTTGTTTTATTTTATGTTAGTACAAATTAAAAATATTTCTACTGGTCAAGGTTACTTAGCATTGCCTGGGTTAAAAAATAACCAATGAGATCATTATTATTGTTAGCTGATAACACTTAAAATAATTGCTATTGATAAAATTTAGGGTGCCACATTAGCATGTGTCCTACCAATCAGTTTCTGCTTTAGTGTGTCCCCTGCCATCATATTTGTATCCTACATTATTAAGGCATTGTTCTGAAATTTTTATTGATATCGTAACAGACATTCAGAATGTTTTTATTTAAAGGATTCAGATATCTTGTTTTATGATTTTTTTATTCAAATTTCTTATTTTAGATTTTATAATATAACAATAAATGGTATACCACCTTCCATTTTTGCTTTTCCCCTTATGTTAGATATTGTACGATACAAATGTGGTGGTAGGTCACACTGATCAGTAGAACACATACTAACGTGGCACCAAATTTTGGTAAATGCCTGTGCTTTTCGCTATGTTAATAATATAACCATATTTTTTTTTTTTATAACAGTGTAGTATGTGTTTTTTAACCTTAACATATTATCATATATAACTCAAGGCGTAGATTCCAATTATCTATTTTTAAAGTTTATAAATAAATAGTTCTTAATTGGTAAAGACTAAGTAAACACACTTATTCATTTACTAATAAACTAAATTTTATGTAAGATGATACTTAGAAAATGTCCATGAGAAAGTTAAGGAAAAATTACTTGGTAGCCTTACAGTCTCTTAAAATTACACCTATACCAAAAGATAAAAGATTATATAAGCTATGTTGCATTAATAAAAAAAAAAAAAGAAAAGAAAAAAAAAAAAAAAAAAAGAATTTTTCAAATTAATTAAAAACATTTATTTGCATATATTTTTGAAATTTTAAAGTAAGGAAGCAAGGAAAAATAAAATTAGTATAAAAAAAATAACTATTAACAGTTGAAATTTGACACTGACAGCTACTGTATAACTGATAACAGACAAATATATCAATGTTTCTTTCATGATTGGTGTGTTGACAATGACAAAATAAGGTCAAGATACAAGGGACAGTTTTTAAGTAATGCCTGTTCTTTAATTCCAGTGGATTTCATTGTAAAAGTTTCAAGATTCCAAATCTAGACCCCCAACAGATTCCCTCCTTCTCAATCATAGTATTCCACTTTTGAATGAGCCTGACGTGATCTGAACACGCAACCTTCTGATCATCCTATTTGTAGAAGCTTCTTGGCTACTTTCTTTGCCATGTGATACTTGCATCTTTCAAATCATTATCATTGGATAACTGTTGTTCTTGGGTACCTCTTTCATCAATCCAAACAGATGAAAAATTGAATGTGCTAAGATTCTTTTTCTGCATGAAGTCTGTCAACATTCAGATTAGTCATTTTGCACAAACTTTTGAGTAGACAAAAGACTGCACTAAACTCCAGACACTACTATAGCTACCTTGAAGGCTTACATGGTATTTTACAATAGTAATTCTATCAACAGCAGGCTTTTTAGTCTTAGCCTTGTCCCCAGTAGCATCTGGCCTAGTGTGTCCTTTCTCTCTAAGATTGTCATGAACTCCACTAACAAATCTCCTTATTTTGCTTACATCAAGTGCAGCTTTTCTATAAACATTCAATAACCTACTGTAAATGTTTGAAGCATTTTCTCTTCCTAAAACCAGAAATTCTATGACCACTTTTTGCTTTCTATGTGCCCAGACGAGTAGCCATTTTGAAAGAGGGTTAAGAATAATAAAAGAGAAGGTGACTTCATAAATACTTCCTCTGGGCTTATAGACACTTTTTTGTTTATAACTAAATGAGACCTGAGGAGTTCCGACTAGTATTTTAAAATTAAATCATTAACAGGCATTATTTTTTGACTGCAATATGTAACTGGAAATTTGTCAAGGTGTTAGCCTGCATAATTTTATTAGACTTTGACTTAAATTACATTCAATTAAAAATGCCTATACATTATATATTATTTTATATTGATATAATTATTATAAAGATATTTTTGTGTACACATTTAGATAAATCAGTAAGTCCATAGCCTAATGATGAAAAGCACACATTTTACACAATACTTATTTTTCCATATAATCTCTCTTTTTGTCAAGGCACTTAATTTAGTGATTAGTATTAATCAGATTATTTATAAATTTGCATAAGGCTAAATTTGTTCTGTTTGTCCTCACCTTACATCTGTAGAACAAAACAGCCCAACTCATAGATATCTACCAGTGGATGTGACACAAGGTTGTTGCTTAAAGAGGGTTTAATGGCTGCACCATGGAAACAATACCAAGCCCCCTCGGTAGTTCCCCCTTTTGGGGATGCCACAGGTGCCGTGCAATAAACATCCTCCCAAGGAAAAGGTAATGCCTGGGGTGAGGAGAGGCCTCCTGAAGCTTAGGCTTAATATATTTAAAGAATATAAAATTCCCTAAAAATATAACAGCCCAACCCAAAACACAATGAATTTGCTATCAGTTTTTATTTATATATATATATATATATATATATATATATATATATATATATATATATATATTACTAACTAGGGGTATTTACAACATAAGGTGTAATATTTAATTTGCATAAAACTTTTTTAAAATCATGTTTTAATATATATTTTATTTGTGTTGTTTATTTTTAATTCAAATTTTAATGATTATCATAAATAAACAATGTTTCTGTCAAAGATATTTTTTTCTGTTTGTGTAGAAATAATTTATATCTGCCTTGTCAAAATTCAGTTATAAGTTAGAAAGCCTAATGTAATAATAAGCATTGTTATCATCTGATATTTCACATTATTAGAAATTAGATTAATTGACCTGAAATAAAGTTTATGAAATTATCTAAATATGACAAAATAACCTGTTTAATTAGTTTTTTTTCTTAAAACTACCAAATTATTTAAACTAGTGAAAAAATTAGTAAATTTGCTGAATTAACTTTTAATATTATTAATATAAACATTAGAGAATTATTCAAACGTTTCTCTTATGTTCGATGTAGCTATGTCCAAAATAGGAAATTCAACTTGACTCCTAATGACAAAAAGAAAGAAATATCTTGCTGAATATGTTATTTATAGAGATTTTGGGTGAGAGAACTATTTTAACTTACATTTTCTCAGTTTGGAGAATGGGTATTTGGCTAGTAGACTGATGCTGGTTTAAATTTCAGATCAGAATTTAGATAAATATGTTAACTAGACTTACTAATCAATCCTCCCTTATGAATATATATTTTAGTAGTATGGGTTATGAAGCAATAGGTTTTATAATTATCTGTTTTACATTACAAATGTGCATATTATACATATTTCCCTACAAATTATTTGTTATGAAACATAAATGTTAATATTTGAAATTCATTTTGAGAAAACAATGATTTCTAAAATAAGTCAATATCTATAATGTATTTTGAGAAAACAATGCTTTCTATAATAAATGAATTATATATAATGTATTTTGAGAAAACAATGCTTTCTATAATAAGCGAATTTAAGAAAACTAGTTTTATAATAAGTGACTATAATAGTTTTTTGAGAAAATAATGATTTCATAAAAAGTTTACAGATAAAAATAAGAACATTATATTATTATATATAAGAAAATATTTTTATTTGCTCATTTTATTTGACTAAAAACAATTCCCACCCCATTTTATCGCCCCTAATTATTTTTATTTTTCTCTTCCTTCGTTTCTGTCAATCTCTGGTTTTATAAAAAAGAAAAAAAAATCAAAGCTATACAACAATGATTACAAGTCATTTTGTTTCAGGCAAGCAAGGTTAACTTGTTAGTGCATAAATAAAAGAGAAATTTGTGGTAAACCTTTCTAAGAATGCTCCTCTGTTCACGATATTTCTCGGTAAACTGGAACATTAAAACAATTGTGTTTTTTGAGAATCAGTAATGATGTGTTGAGTATTAAGATTAGGGATTATCCTAACCTTTATTCTGTTTTTCCTTTCAGTCAAAAATAATAAAAAAAATTAAAAAATGCCAAGAAACAGGCAGAAATTTTTCTTAAGTTTTTAATTTTTTAACCCATTATACTTGGAGGGTTTCTAAAATACAAATATTACTTTAAATATATTACTCAACAAAGCATCCATAGTATTATTAAACAGTGTAAAATCATTCAAAATAAAAAGATTTCAAAAACAGTTTCTTATTTGGGGAATGGTTGATATTTTCTGAAATTTTAATTAGCACACACTGATCTTACTATTTTCAGCTATAGACTTTCAAAAATTCTGGACTAACCTACAATAAGTTATTAGTAAATATAATATTAAGTCATACCTAATTAGAGCTAATTATAAAATAATGCCAACAATAATTACAATACACTAAGTGAAAACTAATATCAACCCAATGCTAACCCAAGTGAACCTAAAATTAGACATTCTAATCTTAATCTAAAATAATCTCTAATAAAATGCTAGATAATCCATTTACTAGCAATTTGCAACATCAACAAGAAATATTAAGTAACTGTAAATAAAAAACTGTATTTAATTATATAATTTTAGAGTAACTATATATGTGTGTGTGTGTGTGTGTGTGTGTGTGTGTGTATTGGTTTTGTTTAAAGTATGTTACACTAGCTGCATTGTATGTAGTGTTATTTGCACATTTTTCTTGCTAATGTTTTACAAGTTAATTGCTTTTAGGTTTGGAAGTAATGTAGTAAAAATATGTAGTTATATTTACACAGGCTATATTTATTAGTAAAAGTGCTCAGTATCTAGAATAGATCATGTGTAAATATAAATACAAATTTTTACTACATTACTTCTAAACCAAAGACTAAAAACAAGTATAATGTCTAATTCTATTGTAACTAGACTTTATGAATTTAAGCATAGTACTAGATTGGTAGCAAGGTCTCATCAATTTATAAATGAAATGGAGATATATAACCATAAGTTCTATGCTAACAGAGATGTTTATGCATACTTTCTTGGCTGTTGGTCAGTTGTTTATTCAAACAGAGTCATAAAATTTTTGTTTATCAATTTGGACATTAGATACACCGGCAAGTGTAATGGGTTGAAAAATTAAAACAGATTAAGGAAATATCTTTTCATGCTGTATAAAATATAAATAGACAAAGAAAACAAGAAATGGGAAAAATGCAGGCAGATAAATAATAAAATAATTCAAAACAAAATGTAAACCTTGCAATGCTACAAAAATACAAAAGTTTCATTTTTATCAGAATTCTATTGACAGAAAATAAAATTCCAACAACCTGAAAGAGAATGCTGATTTTGACTTGAATATGTTATGTTATTCTGATAAAACTTTCAAAGTCTTTGGCTATCTTGTAATATAGTAACACTCATACCAGTGCACCATCTGTACCTGAGCTTTAGACTCTGACACATGCTATGATAAACAATCCAGAAACAAACAGCTTTTATCCTATGGAGATACACATATTTCTTTTGTTTAATTAGAGCTCTTTGGAAGGAGACAGATTTTGCAAAGGCTTTTTAATGGTCCTTTCAGAGATCTCCAGCACATACTGAACATGTGTTGATGATTCTTCAATGCTGAAAACAGTGATAAAATGAATATTCTTACACTTACAGACCAGATTCTGAACAGCTATCTAGTACAGATGCTTGTCATGATTGATGAATTGTAAGACTAGCAGTGGTAGACCATTTGGCATCTACAGCACAAATCAGAGTAAATGTGACCCCATGAGTATCAACATTTGGAATCATTTACTTTTACTAGGACTATAGGTAGATTTCAAGTTGCATCACAATACTGTTGTACCTGTCCCCAGTGTTGTCATAAGAGCATCACCTAGAGGATTAAATTTAGTGTTCAAAGATGAATGTAGATTCTGCCTTTATACAAATGAGAGATTTTATTCATTGTGACGCAAAGATTTAATCTATAGCATAATAGCTACTGTAAGGTTCACCCTGTACAAGACCTCAGGTCAGTCACAGTAGAGGGTTATGTTAAGAGGCAGTTTATATGGATAGGAGGGGAAGATAATGCTTAACCCTTGGCTTAAATAGGTTAAGAATATAGTGATTGGGCAGTGGTTCGTGGGAAGAAGGTGTTCAAGTGGAACTTACTTCTCACCAATGGGTAGTTTATATGGATAGGAAGGCAAGATAATGCTTAACTCTAGTCTTGAACAGATTAACATTGTAGTGATTGGGGAAACATCCTCCTGGGAGTCTGTTCCCCTGGGCAGTGGTTCACGGGATGAAGCTGTTCAAGTGGAACTTACTTCTCACCAATGGGTAGTTTATATGGATAGGAGGGGGAAGATAATGGTTAAATCTAGACTTGAACAGATTAAGATTTTAGCGATTGGGGAAACATCCTCTTGCATTCTCTTATATCCTTAGAAATTAAGCTTAATGGAAAATTGAAATAATACTTATTTCCAAATTTTAGTTTTCTTCTTTAATCTTATGTTATATTGGATGTATTTCTGTAATCAGTTATTTTGATCAAATTCAATCTATTATATGGGGTCTCTATATGGTTTATACACTCCTGATTTTGGAACATGTGTATATTGATTTGTCACATGGTCATGTGGTTAAAACATTCTCTTTCTAAACATTTGAATCACATTATTGTTGATTTGTCAGGAAGGGGACTTCTTAATGTTACTGGTCTGGGTAAGCAAAACCAGTGTGCAGCATGTTTGGAAACAGTCTGGAAACCATACCAGGGGTGAACCAAAGCTCTGTGAGTGAAATTGGGTTGATGGAACTGTTCAGAACTTGTCACTGATCATGCTAGCACAAAGTCACAAGACATCGTGACTGAAGGTTTGAGCGTACTGGTGGTGTTCAAACTTTTGATTGTGCCAGATTATGCACTCTCTTCCAGAAACTGTAACTAAGATCCACTCAGCATAGTTACAATATGAACTATAGGTGGGCTCTGTGGGTGTTGAACAAACACAAATGTGCCTGTGACAGGGATTGGCTAGCCATCCTAGTAGACAGGTGTGATCAAAAAACAAGAATTTTGGGTTATTATTTGTCATCATTTACTGTAGTCCAGTTTTGTTATCTGCACATTTAAACTTGAGTAAACTGAAATAAATATTCAGGGTGTTGAAATTTTATTTTCATCAGTTCATATTGCATAACTTGAAAGCATAAATAGGTAAGTTTTGAGATGACACCATTTGGAGATGCTGTTGTTGTTTTAAATCTGATGATTAGTGGTTAGAGTCATTAAATACTCATGCTTTTTAGAAAAGTTATGTCATTTCAAACAATACATGAATGTAAAAAGTGAGAGGGAAAATTTTAAATAAACAAAACTGATAAGAATTACCTATGTATGCACAATATTTTATTTTTAATCATTTCCTTAAATCATTTTCTTAAATAATAAAAAAAAGACTGAGAAATATACCCTTATTATAATTATTAATAAAAAATACTGCTATATCCAATGATGATTATGAGAGAGAGTATCATTAAGGATGATGGATATTTTTACAGTAATAGAGAAATTAGCCAAAATATTCACCAAATCAAACACACTTAGTGTTACCATTGGTTGAAATTTATAACATCTTTACCATTGGTGGAAATTTATAACATCTTTACCATTGGTGGAAATTTATAACATCTTTCTCTTAAAACAGTTTTTCATGAAATTAGACATTTTAAATCTAATATTTATTATTGCACTTCCGAATAATGATGGGAGTTTCCTTTCAAACCTTTTGTTATATGAAATTATATTATTAACTTTTTTCCAATTTGCGAATTAGTTTTATGTGACTGATAAATTTACCAAAGTTCATATTTATTTTTAATTTATTTTATATTATTCACACCCTCCCCCACTGCAAGTACTTTCAAATCAAATTTTGCTATATTCATTTTCAAGACATGTAGCAACAGTCGAAAGTACTCAGGAAAAAAAATAATATTACATGAAACTAATTCAGAAATTTGAAAAAGGTAATAAAAGATTTGATAGACAGGAGTTGACGATATTATTCAAACAAATATGTTTGAAATAATTATATATATATATATATATATATATATATATGCACACACACATGCTTAAAAGATGAATAATAAGCAGGGACATAAACTGGAAAATCAACACAAAGAAAGGTTTAAAAATATGCATATAAATAAAAGATATGTACATGTAAGCAAGTGATAAAATGTAAGCAAGGATGATAGATAAAAAAAATTTGGTAAGTATTATAAGTACAGATCAGGGAGTAAACTATTTTGTAAAGATTTATTATAGGTTTATATCCAAAATTGTTTATATCCACAATTTTTAATAGTAAGTATTACTTATAGAAAAGTCATATTGTATAATTGATAATAACAACAAGAGATTGAGACAATAGTCTGCATGTATATAATATAAATAATGATAACTCCTCATCTAAGAAATTAGAAGAGAAATGTACCAATGGGATTCTTTCTTACCAGATGCATTAAAGAACTTCTTGGGGAATGTGGCTCAGTAAGCAATTGGGTTGGTGTTTGACCAAAACTACGAATTTGGTTTTCAATTGCCTGAAATTAAAAATATATTTCATGTTAATAAAGTACATTTCAAGCATGACTTTAGTCTTAGTAAAACATAATACAATCTAATTCTAACATCTATTAACAAACATAATAAAGGATTCTTAGTTTTCTTTTGTTTTTGCAAGTATGACTCCTAACTTGGAAAAAGTAAAAGAGATAGAGAAGGTAGAAAACAGGTATAAACGAGGAAAGGTAAGTGGTAAGTGTTCTTACCTTTTACCTCTCTTTTTTCATACTCTTTTCTCCTTAGTAATAGAGTACTTGCCTTCTACCTCTCTTCTACCTTGGTAATCCATTGAGAGATTTCATTTTTTCTTTTAAACAAATAGAGTGCTTGCCTTCTACCTCTCTTTTTCATACTCTTTTCTCCTTAGTAATAGAGTGCTTGAAGACTACCTCTCTTCTTTCATACTCTTTTTAAAATTTGGTAATAGAGTGCTTTGCCTTCTACCTCTCTTCTTTCATATAGGTTTCCCCTTGGTAATAGAGTAAAAATTAAATTTCTCTTCTTTCATACACTTTTCTCCTTAGTAATAGAGTGCTTGCCTTCTACCTCTCTTTTAAAAATATTTTTACCCTTGGTAATAGAAATAAGGATGCCTTCTAACTAGAAAATTTCATACTCTTTTCCCCCTTGGTAATAGAGTGCTTGCCTTCTACCTCTCTTCTTTCATACTCTTTTCTCCTTAGTAATAGAGTGCTTGCCTTTTACCTCTCTTCTTTCATACTCTTTTCCCCCTTGGTAATAGAGTGCTTGCCTTCTACCTCTCTTCTTTCATACTCTTTTCTCCTTAGTAATAGAGTGCTTGCCTTTTACCTCTCTTTTTCATAAAAACCTTGGTAATAGAGTGCTTGCCTTCCACTCTCTTCTTTCATACTCTTTTCTCCTTAGTAATAGAGTGCTTGCCTTTTACCTCTCTTCTTTCATACTCTTTTTCCCCCTTGGTAATAGAGTGCTTGCCTTCTACCTCTCTTTCATACTCTTTTCTTCTTAGTAATAGAGTAGAGTGATTGCCTTTTACCTCTCTTCTTTCATACACTTTTCCCCCCCTTGCTTCCTTTTCTCTCACTTTCTCCAATTTTTTTTCAGAGAAATTTGAAAAGAAAATCAGGTAAAGGAAAAAAAAAGAGAGCAAGAAAAAAGAAAAGGTAGAGATTAAAGGCAGAGAGGAACAGGTTTTCTGGTTAGATATCAAGATAAAATGTGTGAAAGATTCAAAGGTAGGTATATTTTCCCAGCCTCACCACCAGTGCTGGATGTGACACAAGTAATTTTAATTTGGGGAGTACAATAATGTATACTTATGCATATGGCCAAAAACACAAATTGGTTTTTGCCCAGTCCCCAGTGATTACTCACACTGGCATTGGTATTATACCAACCAAATCTCTTTAGTGCAATGAGGAAGGTGCTGCTGCAGGGTTGGAATCTCCAGTGCTTCTCCCATCTTACAGCAAATGGGGAGATAACTATATACCAGTAAACCCTCATTGGCATTGTGCGAGAAGTATTGAAAGACAGGGAAGTGATAGAAAAGCATAAAAATTCTTTATGGAAATGGAGAGCAAAAGAATTATGAACAAAAGATGCAGTAGAAAAAATCTGGTCATTCCTCAATACTTTTTGTATATGAAATTAATCTATGTTTGCATTCTTCTTCTTCTGCTGTGTCCCTTCAGGATATAGAAAGGTGTGGAGAGCCATTATTACCTATCTTGTGTGGCTCTTAGCAGATTTTCTTCCTTTGCTAAGGCTCATTCATCCTGTTCTACCATCCATTCACAAAGCTCGTCAGGTAAGTTGCTTGCTGTCTTCCCGTATCTCTCTTGCCCTCAATATGTCATGTGAGGGTCAAGTTTTTCAAGCCCTCCATCCTCTATCTCTCTTGTCCTCAATATCTCATGTGAGGGTCAAGTTTTTCCATCCCCTATCTCTCTTGCCCTCAATATGTCATGTGAGGGTCAAGTTTTCCAAGCCCTCCATCCCCTATCTCTCTTGCCCTCAATATGTCATGTGAGGGTCAAGTTTTCCAAGCCCTCCATCCCCTATCTTTTTTCCCCCTCAATATGCCATATGAGGGTTAAGCTTTTCAAGTCCTCCTTCCTCATTATATGTCCAAGGAATTTTCGCTATCTTTTCCTAATTTTGAGTATGTGTTCTTTCTATTGCTATTTTCTTTAGGACTTCCTTGTTGTTTACTTGCTCTGCCCATGGTATTCTCAGTATCCTTCTGTAGAACCACGTTTCTGTTGCTTCTAGTTTTCTCATCTGCAGAAGATTTCCAGTATTTACTACTATATAAAAGGATAATATCACTTAGCAATCCAGCACTCTTTTCTTTATTTACATTAGAATAATGTAAATAGTGTATATAATACCTCATCTCAGAAATATAGACAGATACTCTTTTCTTTGTTCCTAATTAAATTTTTCCATTTCTCTGCATGTTGCTTATCTTTTAGAATGCTTGTTTTGCTAGTCCAGTGTGTGTTCAGATCTTCTTGTTGCATTTTCCATCTTCTGTTAAAATACTTCCCAGATATTTAAACTTTTGCACCTGCTTGATGTTTATATCTCCAATTTGTAACTTGTATTTTGAACTTTTTCTCTTGCTAATAACCATACTTTGTTTTCTTGCATATTAAACACTATTAGATTGCTTATTTAGAAGAATAATTTTATATTTACAAGATTATAAAATTATTTTATTCATAGATATTTTTTATATATTTATGAATAAAAAAAAATTTCTTTTCATATTTATTTCTTTATAAAATGGTAAATAATAAATATTCCATTCTGGTTGATTCACATATTTTTATAATCTTGTAAATATAAAATTATTCTTGCAAATAAGCTATTTAATAAATAAATAGTGTTTAATATGTTTGTTGTCAATTCTTAAGAATAAAGAAAATGTATAAAACCACTTTAATATGTTTGGGTTTTAGTAAAATCTAATCACTGCTTTTTAAAACATTGTCAAAGGAATCAATAGTAGTGTCAAAAGAACACACTGTCTTTTTGTGGGCAGGAAGGTTAAACATTGCCAAATTATCTTTATGTTCAAAAGAAGGCCACCAATCCTAACAAAAATTTACCTCTTTCATGACTGGGTCAGTCATTGATTCCAGGTTCGCACTTCCTTCATATGTGAGATAGTAAAAGACATTGGTTGATCGTACAGCTTCTGGTCCTGTAAATTAGAAAATAAAATATTTGAAGTTTTATTTCAACATTTTGAAAATAATTTAGTTAAAATAAATTTATGTTCAAAATGAAACATGTCTGTTATTCAAAATCGTTTTCACCAAACAACAGTGAAACATCTACAAAGGAATGAATATACTGAAGTATTAATAAAAAGAATGGCAAGAGGATACACTTTTTTGCTATCCTGTTCCTTGAAGTTTCTTACTGAGCACATTTTGTTCCTTCATTCATTATTGAAATCTTACTTATTATAAAATGCAGATTGTGTGTGTGTGTCTGTACGTTTATATATTGGATTGGATTTCCTACATTTTTCAACTGATTTCAACAAAACTTCACAGGACTGCGTAAAATTACCTTGTGGTGGTTCTGACAGCGCCAAAAATTGGAAAAACACAATTGTTTTTGCATGAAATCAATTTGAAAACACGATTCTGTCACCAGAATGAAAGGGGGACAACTCATATCGAGTTATACTTATTATAAAACCCATGTTGTTTGTGTGTGTGTTCGTTTATATATGGAATCATATTTCCTACATTTTTCAACTGATTTCAACAAAACTTTACATTTTTTTTTGTCCTTTTTCTTTGTCGCCATTTTGTCTTGAACGTTTTTTTTCTTTATTTTACATTCAGAATGCTTTCTTCAATTCCATTTACAAGACAATTGTTTATAATAAAATTTCCAGTCAATCGGACCCATAAGATTGAAAACAATGTTTTGGTTTGAGTTTTAATTGAACTTTTCAGAAAAAAAAAAAAAGATAAAAAACTTACATCCATCAAACATGTCCGGAACTAGAACAGTTTACCCCATCTTTGTCAATTTTATTTTTTCAGTTTTATGATGGTCGATACCATCTATGAAGAAGGCTGTTACATCCCCGAGCAAATGTAAATACTGCTACATAATATATATCATCTCATAAATATAGACAGACTCTGATTTTTATATAGTGTTTCTTGTTTTCTTGCAAACTTTTTTATATTTACATTCAGAATGCTTTTTTAAATTCCATTTACAAGACAATTGCTTATAATAAAATTCTATTCAGTCGATAGACTCATAACGATTGAAAACAATGTTTTTGTTTGAGTTTGGGTTTGACTAATTCGTAAAAAAAAAAAAAAACGGAAACTAATTAAGACATGTTGACCGTTGAAAACCTTAAACAATAATCTTTGTCAATTTTATTTTTTTTCTTTATGATTGTTGATACTTGATCTATCTTTTTTCTATCATTACATCCCCCAATGAATGCCGGGCTCTACTGCTAGTATGTACTAACACAAAGCATGGTAACTATTTGTACTATAAGATTTTATATCTAGTTTATAAAAATTTTAATTTTACTATTTTAAAAATGTCAGCCTTGAATAAATATCTAATTGTCTAGGGTGATTGTTTTTTAATACACATTCTTTTGAGATAAGTGTATTTTTATGAAGACTTTGTTTGTGTAAAAATTTGTTACATTTGTATATTTTTTTCAGATCAGCAAATTTTGGTAGGCTTTAACAACCCACCAAAATTTGTGAAAGATCCATTTCCAGTATTTTTTTCTATATACTGACCAATGAGAGATGTGGTCTCAAGTTCTTGTAACAACCTGTATGGTGATCTTTTTGAGCCTAATTTTCCAAATATATAGGGTGCTGGTCAGTAGATGTGAGGTGAGTAGAAGACTTTTTGTCAACAAGGAGACAAGACAAATCAACATTTAAAAGCAGAATACTTTAGATACAAATAAGAGAGCAAGTCAGCTGGAGAGAGATCAAAGAATTTTGAAGTTCAAGTGAAAATTCTCTTGCAGTTGGACAACAAAGAATGAAATGAACTCTAAGAAATTTTTGCACAAACTGTGAATTTAAAAGGGATTTTTCTAAAATTACTATATGTCTAGAGACACTAGTAAAAGTAGGTGTTTTAATTTTTTTTCTAACAGGTAGTTGTATCTTTGTTTTTTACTACCTTCTTGAATCTTGAAATGTTTTCTCTTTTTGTCTTTTTCAAAATTATTGTTGTTCCCCAAACTAATTTTTCCCATTTTTCAATGGTAAACTTTGTATCAAAAATTGTTAACATTAATAAGAACACAAAAGGTAATTTTTGTGGAAATTTTGTATTTTTATAAGTTTAGGAATACCTCAGATGACTGAAATCAATTTTATCAAGAAAAACAATAGTTATCATTTAAATATTTGAGAATTAATCACATCTTGCTATGCATGAACAATGTTGAAAGTTCAGAGGAGAACAGTGACAGAGGTAAGTAGCTTTGTTAAAAAAATTGTTGAGATATAAACCAAATTAATTATTACTAACCTCTTTGTTTGTATCCAAATATCAAGTCAATCCAGTGGTGCAACTGACAAGATACAAATTCTGATTCCAGGGCCTAGCAAAAAAAAAAAAAAAAAAAAAATTAATATCATTGTACAATATTAAAATAACAATATATAATAATAAAACAAAGAATTGTAGGGACATCTGTTGCAATGGTAGGGACAAATAGATAAACTAAAAATTCAAAATTCATGCAGTAATGTTGGCATCCGTCCGTCTTGAGAAACGATGGAATAGCACTATGAGCCTGGGCAGGATATATGGAGAACTAGGGCTGCCTGGACGTCTTAACTCCCACCCCTATTTGTTTTAGCAGAGTCCAAAAAAGAGGATAAACCAATACAGTTTTTTAACAGTGCATTGAAAGGAAGGTATTCAAAAATAATCATTATCCATTTTAATACTTTTGTGTTTTTTGAATTTAAGAGTTGTCCTTCTCCTAGATTTCTCTGGATTTTATAAAAATATAACCATACCTTTTTTTTAATTTTAGAAAAAATATTGATATTATTTTATAACCTGGATATAAGAGAAAAGATATAAGAGAAACCCGGATATTTAAAAATTTTTCTCTTTCCCAAATTAGAGCCTGTGTTAATGTAAACAAAAAAACCAAACCTTTTATTTTTATTGCCCGGATATAAGAGAAATCTTCTTGAAAATCCCGACAACTTCTATATCCAGGTTACATGTTTATTAATATCTGACTAGTATCTTTTGAATATTACTGTTTTTTAATCATACCTACTTTAATAGTAGAATATTATCTATTAGTAGAATATTTTTTAAAACTGGATCAAAATGCAGTTGAGATCACAGCCAGTGTAAACTCCACAATTTTTTCATTAAAAATGCATAGTACATGCTTCTCCAGGGCTACATATGATTCGAGTCCAGAGTTATCCTTCTCTTAGACCAGATACTACTATAGAACCTAGTCTGTCCTGCTAATTACCCATAGCTGGGGAGGAAGAGATGGATTCATAACTTTCCCAAGGGTATTTGCACATAAATGAATAATGAACTTGACTGGAATTCATACTTGTCTTTCTGATTTCTCCATCTGAATGCTATCTAATACTTCAGCAGACTCCCTTGAATATTCATGAAATAAAGCATTGTCAACCACTATTAATTTTTATCTATTATTTCTTTCATCTTAATTTTAGTTATTTTTCAACATACTTACTGTTGTAGAGTAGTTTTCACAGTGGAGGCTTGTATTTCACTAAGTCAGTCCTAAATTAGGTTCGACGTACAAAACGTTAGGAACTTGAAATAATAGTTAATGACGCAGCAATCTAGTTGTGGTGGTTGATACTTCAATGTCTGACATCAACTGTCTCACCAACTCCACTGAGTCCTGGCGACTGCTACTACTACTACTTATTATCTGTGGGAGAGTCTATTAACAATAGAATAGGTATGTTCCGGTATAACACTTACTCAGACCATCATTCTATGGCCATCAGTAAAGAAAACAGATTGGAAATAAAAAAGAAACTTATAAAATGAAAATCTCAATATTTTTAATGAAACAACTAAATTAAGATGAGGGAGTTACTAGTCAGTGATTAATTATGAATGTCAGATTTTGTCAATGAAGACTATACTTTATATAACAGAAGAAAATATTGTTCATAAAGTGTTTTATAAAAATAGAACTGAAAGATCATTTTGATTGTTCAGTTGCCATTTCATTTATATAAGCAGAAATTGGAATTATAAATGTAGCCTTGTGAAAAGGCAAATTGAAATAGCCAATAGGATTAAAAAATATGTATAAATAGTGATTTTCTTTCTTCTTTTAATGATAATGTTATTAAGCTTATCAGATGATATGAAAAGAATTTAAATAGACAAAACTTGTCTATATTATTCAATGAAACATGCATCTATATATATATATATATATATATATATATATGCATATTTATGAACAGTTATCTGATTAATAACTATAAAATTCTATATATATTTTTAAATGAAGTAAATTTGATCAGTTCAGTAAGGTCAAATTGGCAGTTGATCTCAAAATGACCTACACTGCTGTTTATTGGTGCAAGGAATAGCTTGTTAATTTTAACACCTTGAAAACAAAACTGCTCTCTATTAATCATCTGTGAGAGCTCTTTGTACCTTCCATCAGCATGACTGATACTAACCTCCAGTAGAGTGACTCATTATGCCTTCTTGGGCTAATGTTTTCCCCTGACATGAAGTGAAAAGATATTGAATTAATTGCTAGGTCTGTTGCTAGCAAAGTTGGTTCACTGTGTTGTGCTAGACAATTTTTCTCACCTGAAACTTATATATTTATAAGTCTACAAGTCATCCCTGCTTTGAATATTACATCCACTAGTGGTCAGGTGCTCCTGCTATATATTTAGAGATTCTTGATAAAATCCAGAGAAGAATCTGCAATCTCATTGATCCTGATCTGGCATCTCAGCTTAAGTCACTTTCCTACCACTGCAATGTAGCTTCCTTCTGCCTTTTCAATAAATATTTTCATGGTAATTGTGCTGATGAGTTTTCCTCTATTGTACCTAGACTTTATGAATTTAAGCACTGTACTAGATTAGCAGCAAAGTCTCATCATTTTACAAATGAAATCGCAAGATGTAACCGTAATTTCTACACTTATAATTTCTTTTTTGCACTTCTCGCTTGTGAAACTTTTTTGGCTTCTTGCTTTCCAGTAAAGTTTGATCTTCGAAAATTTGAAAGGCAATGTCAATTGTTATCTTCTATCTTTTTAATTCCTGTTCTTTTATTGTTCTCACTCAATAATGTTTTTCTTTTTCTTATATTTTTTCACACTCAGTAACCCCTGGCTTTATGTCCTTGCTTGAAGTGAAATGATTAAAATAATAAAATGAACCTAACATTTTCTTTCTCTACCTCTCATATGAGAGAGTGTGTGCATGTGAAGTATCATGAATGAACTGACTTTAGGGTTTTTGTATGTTATATATTAGTGAAAAATTTTAATATTTTATTTTAATTGCTAGTTGCAAACTAACAACTAATGTTGTAGCAATTAGAAAAGTGATAATTGTGTTTGTTTTTTCTTTTTAATGCTCACCATCCGATTGATACGGACAAAATCATCTGGTGTCTTTGCCCATGGAGGAAGAGTCACATCGTCAACCATAACATCTCCGTCTTGATAACCAAAGTTGAATTTGTTTTGATTAACAAATATTTCAGGCAGATAGTAAAATTCAGGAATGAGTTCCTGGAAAGAAAAATAAGCATTATTTTTAGTGTTGGATGGATTTACATAAAATTAGAAATTTTTGCAATTTAACTTATAAAATAAAAAAAAAAAACAATGTATATAAGACATTTCTAAAGACTATACTTGATGTAATGTATATGCATACACCTGGGTTACCCCTCACAGTAATATGATTGGCTGGTGTCAGCCATAAATACAGACTGATGTGGAGGTACAGGACGATGCCTATTGTCTTCACCTATTGCCTACACCTATTACCTACCACTACAATGAGGACCAGTCCATTACAGTTACCTGCAGAGATTGTCCTATTCAGTTACAGTAGGCCAAAACCACTTTGCTACTTTGAATAAATATATCCCTTTCCATGACATATCAATACTAATACAACTACTTGATGTTTCTAATCTATTTTGATTAATTTGGACTATATCTAACTTGGTACAAGGTCATATTTTTTGAATATCTGATGAGAACATCAATACTTTGTAAAGACAGTACTGAAATGAAGAATATGGATCAGATTGAAGTGATTCTTAAATAATTTTCTTTTTTAAATTAAATTATATATAAATCTTGTTTGATTTAACTTATTTATAAAGTAAAAATTAATTTAACCATATGTTCCTTCCTTGAAAATATATCCCTTAGTTCCACCAGTTCTAAACTTCATGGCTAAGACCATCTATGTCATACAAAATTGTAGAGATGTAGGTAACTTCTTCTCATGAACCATTGCTTTACAAGAGCCAGATTAGTCCCAAAATGGATCAATTGTTTTGCCATATATGGGCAGGAGCTACCCAGTCTTCATTTCCAGTCTAGATAGAGTCCAAAAAGTGTCTCCATGTCCTTGTAGGTGGTGAATTATTTTCCACCCCATACAACCACTTTCTACAGATGAAACATCTGTTTTCTTGCTACTCTATCGCTATTTCCATGGAAAGTGTTCAGATGAACTAAATTCCTTAGTTCCACCAGTTCTAAAATTCATGGCTAAGACCAGCTATGTCACACAAATTGTAAGATGTAGGTAACTTCTTTATCATGAACCATTGCTTTATACAAATCAATAAGATCAGTCCCAAAATGGAGTACTGCTGCCATATATGGTCAGGAATATAATAAGTCTTCATATTTCCAGTCTAGATAGTCCAAAAGTGTCTCCATGTCCTTGTGGGTGGTGAATTATCTTCCACCCTACAACCACTTTCTACAGATGAAACATCATAAGCCTCTGGCTACTCTATCGCTATTTCCATGGAAAGTGTTCAGATGAACTACATTCCTTAGTTCCACCAATTCTAACCTTCATGGCTAAGACCTGCCATGTCACAGACATTGTAGTGAACATTTCCTTCATATTCAATTGGTGAGACCTAAGTTCAACTCAAGCAGATTTTTCCCATAAACCATTACTTTGTTAAAACAACTCCGAAGAGGATGCTTCCCCAATCACTTTGTTATTATTCTTCATTATCTTCCTTATATATATCCCCACAAACTGTCTCTCTTATTGTGTAACAGTCTCCCTTGAGTGGCTCTTGGTCCTTGTACAGGGTGAACTTTATTGTAAAATATATATGAAGTACAATATATTTTAGTGATTATAGAGATTTTAGTAGGTAAATAATAAATTGATTTTGTTTTCTCTGATTAATAATTTCAGTTAGTTATGTACCATATGTGATATACTCTTAGGCGATCATGTACCTTTCGATACATTACTGATGAGGCAGATTTTTTTCTGCAGTAGGTTGCCATTTCTTTCTGCAGTAGACCAGTTGCTATAGAACCTGGTCTGTCCTGCTATTTACCCATAGCTGGGGGAGGGGGGAAAGAAGAAGAGGATTCATACCTTTCCCAAGGGTATTAGCACGTAAATGAATGTAATGGATCTGACTAGAATTCGAACTTGGCTCTCAGATTCCTCAATCCGAGCCACTATTCAGTACTTTGCCATTACACTTAACTAAATAGAATGGCAGAAATTAAAAAAATAAATAAAAAGAAGCTTACTTTGACGTCTGATGTATCTCTTTGACAATTCTTCCAAGCTTGACTGACTGAGAAAAAAGTTCTATTTGCATGATCAAATTTTCCTCCTTGCATATTTAAAAATAAGGTGGTAAATGGTTCCTACAAAAGAATTTAAGAAAATTAACTTAATACAATTTTGTAATAACTTTGAAATGCTTTTTTTCTCTTTACATTTCATTTATTTATGCATTTGAAATAGACTATATACAAAGTGTAATATATTTATTAAAGACACTTTTTATGTTTAACGTTGTTATTTATAGATACAAGTATTTAAGCAAATGCTCTGTTTATGATAAACAGTATTAAATAACATTTACCGGCCTGAATGTCCGAAAAAAATTCATAGAAAATTTTCGTTCTTTGACAGGATTCGAACCTGCATCCTATATTGGAACCGTCATATATATATATGCGTGCCTTGACAATATAAAACAAAAAAGAACCTTATATTTATTTTGCAAGGTCAATTTACTGTTTATAAACTCAATCTTCCATGAATCTCGTACATTCATGACGGTTCCGTATAGGATGCAGGTTCGAATCCTGTCAAAGAACAAATATTTTCTATGAAAATTTCTCGGACATTCAGGCCGGTAAATGTTATTTAATACTGTTTATCATAAACAGAGCATTTGCTTAAATACTTGTATCTATAAATAACAATGTTAAACATAAAAAGTGTCTTTAATAAATAAATTGTCGGACCTTGTCCATTTCTTAACATATAAAGTGTAATATGTTACAATATTTGTTCCCAAGATCATTTATTATGTAAAAGAAACTGGAAATAATATGAGACATTTCTTTAACATTTTTCACCATTTTATTTTATCAAAGAACAATTAATTAGCATCAATGGTACCAGTATACATCCCAAGCACTGAAAGACAACCATTTTCAAAAATGCAATAGGATAAAAGTTAATGAGTGCATGTTAGGATGTTGATGTGTGAGGGGAACAAACCAACACATATTGTGGTAAAGTGGGTTTTAAAAATGGATGAACTTTTGTCTGTAAGGAAAAGACTGATCATTGCAATATTATGACAAGTCAATAAAACAGAGTTCTAAATATGAAATATATATAAATATATATAAAAATATAAAGATATAAAAATAATATAAAATATATCTGTTTTAATTTCTGGGATTAGCAATTATCATTATTTACATTATTTACATATGGACTGTTATCCCCATCTTTGTTGTTGTTATCCCAACGTTTTGGCTGATTGTTCTCATTCTGCTGCCAATATCCAGAGATATCTTTTCTAGTTCTTATTTCACACCATTCAGTTATTGCTTGTCTCATTTCTACTGAGTTTAAGTAAACATTGCCCAGCCTTGGGATTGAACACACAATTATTACATCACCAAATTCATGAACTATTGCATTTAATCCAGTAGGCTTGTGACATGTTTATCAGAATGAGAAAAATATACTTACATAGATTAAATATAGGCTTCAGTTCAAAATTTCCTGAAGGTAACCAGGATCAACAAACACCTGATGAAGGCTAGAGGACACAACATCCAAAACATTGTGATAACAACAATAAAAATGGAGACAATAGTCTGCATGTAAATATGAAGAATATTTCTAAAACATTTTCTACTTATTTGAGTAAAATTCAAAACACTTACACAATGGCACAAATTTTTTCATTGTACATGTAAACTTTTTTATCATTAAAAAAGATATAATATACTCACCACTCTGATAAGCCAATTGAGTGTAAATGCTGCTGTTGAATAATGAGTTCCATAATGGAAAGGAGGGATTTGTTCATGTTCCCAGCTTGCATATCGTTCATCAAAGAACTTTTTCCGAGCTGGATTCAATGCACCAATAGGCTGAAATAATCAAAGTTAAATATTTATTGTTTGTGATGTGTCATTTTATACATATTTATTTTAGTCTTTCAAACTATCTTCACATTAATTAGAGTTAAACTTTAATTAAAAAAAAATAAAGCATGATGTTCTTTACTAAAGGCCACGTCATAGTGCATCCTTCACCCAGAACTGGAAACCTATTTCAACTTTCATTATTTTGCTGAGAACAAAAAATTTTTATTTTTTGGTTTGGGTTTGCAATAGTTTGATGCTATAGTTGGATTAAGAAATTTTTATATTTTAAATTACTTGTGATTTTCTCCAGTGGGTCTTTCACTCCTCATATATGAGTGAGCTTGTCTCGATGCCTTGACTCCCCACTTAGGCCTGCTGATTCTTCTGCACGATTTTTTAATAGTCAACACAGGATCACTTCATTTGGTATGCTTTTATTTTTCCTCTCATTCTTAGATTGTCTCTTTATTAAGGGTGCTGAAGATAAACATTTTACTGGACTAATGGAGTCTGGGCTCTGAACCATAGAGTAACTCCTAAGGAGACTATTTTGTCAACAAGTGTATAATATTGAAACTACTGTATTACCATTTTGTAAATGGGTTCTGGACTATGCAGTAGTTTCTGGTAGGATTTCATTATGGCTGTGTTTTTTAAATTTATCCAGGTAGTGATTTTTATTTTTTTTTCACATAATACTTTTGAGTGTTGCTGGTTCATTACTTTGATTATTCATCTTCATACACCAAACTGTTGAAGAGTAGGAGTCAGTGTACTTCCTGCTCTTCACTACTACTGTGACAATAGCTGCTCTTACTTATAAATATGACAAGTAGCCACATTAGAGTAGGATTTGAGTAGTATTTGATTTACTCAAATATTTCCATTCTATCTATGAGTATTAAAAAAAAACACTCTTCTTTGTTTTCCCTACCTAGTCTTCTGTTCCTTCAATACTCTCTCTAATTATGGCCTTGCTAATTCTTGGCTATTTTAAACTCCTGTGTATGAGTATTTAATAAATCTCTTCTCCAACCAAGTCTTCTGTTCCTTTGATACTCTAACTATGGTCTTCCAAATATCTCAGCTATTTTGAACAAAGAGAACATTACAACACAAACCATACCCAGAGTTAAAACAAACAGTAAAATCCACCTCAGTTCTTACAAAAACAAAAATAGACCCCAACTTTTTTTTATCTTCTACACAAATATAGGGGGTCTATGTTATAACTTTCCAGAAGTCCAACTACATTTTCAAAAGATCAAACCTACCCTCATGTGCCTGTCTGAAACTATTCCAGTGCAGGAATTCACAATTCTTTGCTACTCTTCCTTAATCACGAAACACTACTTTCTAAATCACCATGGCCTTGGGGTTTAGACCTATATCAAGGATGCGTTCCTACGTGACAGTGAGACTCCAATAACAAGGACACTGATTTCCCATTTATGTGCTTTTGCATGGCCCTTGTTCCTAGTACATCTTTCAGCTTTGCTATCTACATTCTTCAGGATGATGGAGTCTCAATATTTTACCAAATACCTGAGAAGTTTGATTTTATCCTATTTGATCATCCCTAAACAAACATATATATATATATATATATATATATATATATATATATTTTCATACACGTTTCATTAAATAATATAGACAAGTGTTATCTATTTATTTTATGTAAATTTTTTTTCGTAATGTCTAATAAGTTTAATAACATTATAGTTGAACGAAGAAAGAAATTCACAATATTGATCCATATTTTTTTTAATACAATCTAAGCTTTCGGCTGACATAAGCCATTATCAAAGATGTCAATTACAACATATGAAGCAATATACAGACAAGACAGTGATGATAGTCTGTCATTGTTTACATAGATGATTTCTAAGCAACGATAAACACGTGCATATAAGACGCTAGAAGTGAAAATCGCACTCATCATCTCACGCGTCACACATGACCACACAAGAGTGAATTGAGAAGTATGAAGTATGGAAACCGTTGGTATAAACCAATGGCTTCTGTTACCAATTATAGACATTTAAGAATATTTGTAGAGATGCCATAATTGATTTTGTTTAGGTTGGGTTTCTGTAGTTGATATATTAGAATTTACTAAATTTTTAGTATATTTTCATCTTGTTTATAATTTGCATGCATTTGATTATGATATAGGAGATTAATATGTTTGAGATCAGTAGAAGTAATGAAACGTGTATGAATGAAAAGATGCTGCCTAAATACAATATATATATATATATATATATATATATATATATATATATATATTTCACTGTTCAACATGTTTTCTTTAAGTGTACTCAAACTGAGTCCACTCAAACAAAGCCAACAAAGAGGGTAAAAACTCTCGTGAATTTTGCATTGTATACGAGTTGATGCAAATCATAAATTAGCCTACTTATGTTAACGATATAGTAGACCACTTTCTCACCTCCTGTCCTGAAAAATGTTCCATGGTAGTGTTACATCTGTTGAGCTCTTCTGACCACTCAATGATCTGTTTCAAGATTGATGCCAATCCAAAATCATCCTCTGGTGACCCATTTCATAGGACAGTTTTTCAATACTTCAAAGCTCACTGGTATAGCTTCAGGTCTTTCAACGTGGAAGCTCCTCTCTTGGCATTATTCAAAAACAGAGCACCCAGAAAAGACATTCATGGAAAGTTTTGTCTGTTGCAGTTTTTTGTGTATCATGTACTAGTGAGCTAGCCCAAATGACTTGACTCACTTTATAGTCCACCAATAGAAGGTTAACCAATCAGAAGATATAAAATATTCAATCCGTCATGTATAAAGGCGGCCATTTTGTTTACTCTCTCTGAATGTCTAGTGCCAACTTGTCAGGCGAAAGAACAGAAGGAAGAACTACTGAACTACGCTCTGCTACTTTACCGGGATATCCACTGCTAACCTGAACAACACTTCCCTACTGTCTTCGAAATATTCACTGCTAACCTCTGGATTCTATACTCAAAGACGACTGTCATCATGAACAACATTGTCCTTCACAAGAACTATCAGCAAAGGTGAAATAATCAGCCTTGGTTAACTTAATTTACTGCTACCATGTCTCAGCATAAGCACTACTATCATTTCTATTACCTTGAACAAGGTAGCAAAACTTTCAACACATTTTGCAATGCTTGCAATCATTTCTAGAAAGCTGATCTTAGCATTTTCAAGTATCATGTACAGTCAGTTCAAGTTAAAGCTAAAAAAAAACAAAAAAAAACAGAAGTGATCCTCAAGAGTTCTGGAAAAACACTAACAATATTTTTAATAGATTTGTTTACTATTGGCCCTGAGATCAGGAATTTTCCAGACTCATTAAAATCCCTTGTTCTATGAAGACTATTGGATCAGATAAAAAATCTCCATGGTTCTTAGGAACCTTAGCTATAAGTTATTTCCAATCATGGTAAATTTTTTAAACTGCTGCCTAAAGGAGAACTGATTCCAAAGTCTATGGAAGGTTCAAGAAAGCAAATGAGCACTCTTCACTTCTGCAATATTACACTATCCATCTTCTTTGTGTCAAAGTTCAAAAAGCACATTCCACAGCCCAAATGACTATGATCAAAGTGTAGTATCTGTTTGGACATCTAGTTCATGGCTAAAGTCATCATCAGCAGCAGTTTCAGCCATCATCATCAGACACCAATCCAGTTCACCATCAGCTGCTACTCCAGCCATCTCCAACAGGACTACAGCTCCAGCCAGTCATCCTTGCTGGCAGCAACAATATGTGATAAACTGACCTTTACAGGACAACGCTCTTCACCGATTACAAAACTGCCCTTTACAGGCCAACGCTCTTCATCAATTGCAAAACTCTTCTTCAGGACAACACTCTTCAGCAACTATAAAACTGTCCTTCTTAGGCCAACACTTTTCAATGACTGCCAAAACTGTCCTTCTCAGACCAACACACTTCTCCCCATCTACATGAACATACAGAGATATTTTGCCTAGTGCACGGTAATCTTATTTTTGATGATGTATTTTCATTACCAAAAATAAACCTGGTAATTGGTACTTTCTTTTTTTTATTCAAGTCTTCATTTTGTTTGCTGTTATCTTCTGTCATTCAATATCTGCTTTTGGGATCAATATACCATCCACAATAAACTCTCCAGCTATTTTGAGAATAGTCTTTGCAATTATCAAATTCTTTCTATCAGGTAGGTCCACAAAGGTCATTGTTAATGGCCTATCTTCTGAAGCTTATAGCTCAAGGTTCTCTTCTTGATTCTATGGATGCACCTCCAAAAATTCAAGGTAAAGGTCAGCATGTAAATTTCAATACCTGCAAAACAAAGCTAGTAGCTTTTCTTTATTCACTGAGCAAATCCTGAATATACTCTAGTCTCGATGAATGTTTGCATACTTATTGAGAATCTTTACTTTGAATATCGACTGGGACAAAAGTTCACTGCAGAACTCAAGTAGAACTAATATATACAATTCATTGCTTAAAATGATGGAAAAAAAATATTTGTCCCTTGTATCACTCTAGAAAGTACCTGACTTCTACTGTGCTCTATTTTTACAAGAGTCAGATCAGATAAAAAAAAATGGAGTATTGCTGCTATATCTGGGCAGGAGCTACAAGATTCTCCTTTCCAGTCTTGAGAGAGTTCAAAAAGAATTTATGCAGCCTTGTTGTCGATGAATTATATTCAATCATAAAGCCTCTTTTACACATAAGCCTATCCCTACTGTACTAATACTTCCATGACAAATGTTCTGATGAGATTCATTCAGTAGCTCAAACCTTTGCAGCCAAGACTCTCCTTCTGAATTCACAAGTTTGAATCACCCTTATACCCTACATAATACTTTGGTAAGAAGGGTGTCCTATTCTGAAACCTTCTCCCTAAATACTACTTTGTGTAATTTCCATTTTCTTAACATAGGATTATATACACATCAAGTGATGTCACTCTGGATTCAGTAGTAAGTGTATATTTACAAATAGTGCTTAATAATGTATATTAAAGAAATATAATAGTAAGTTTCAGTTAACAAATAAAAAGTATTTTATAATATACCTAGCTTAACCTAAAAATTTATAAAGATTGTTTTTGATAAAATATTCATTCTCATTAACATAAATATAATATATAATATATATATAAAATATATAATATATAATGTATATAATATATAATGTATATAATATATAAAATATATATAATATAAAATATATAATGTATATAATATATAAAATATAAAATATATAATGTATATAATATATATAATATATAAAATATATAATGTATATAATATATAAAATATATAATGTATATAATATATAAAATATATAAAATATATGAAATATAAAATATAATATATAAAATATATAATATATAATCTACAGAAGTATAATCTTGCAATATATAAAAAAATATTAGGCAACAGTAAAAGTTTGTTGAAAATTTCTTTCTACAACATATAACTGTTCTGTATCATCAGAAAAAAGAACCTGATTATATTTATAAATGAGTGTAATTTTTAAATCCTTCACAATATGGATGAAAATTATTGAGTCATGAATAATACCATTTTTGGGAACCAACTGTAAAGATGAATCTATCATCCTAACTACTAATCATATGTGGTAGTTAATAATCAATTTGGAGGATACTAACATATGTTAATTTCTGAATGACAGTAGCAGCATACACAGAGGATTAAAGAATATATGTTTTAGCACTAGTTCATTTATATCACATTATGTGATTACAAATAAGGAAATAATGTTATAGAGAAATCTAGAAACATATATAGTGTCAAGTAGCCCAGAATGGGTGGCAAGTATGAAAGTGGTTTGCATAGTTGTTTTTTACACTAATGTTCATTCTTTAAAAGGTTCAAGTACCACACAAGGTAAAGGGTTACAGAGTAAGAGGCATAGTTTATGCAAATATGTGGGGAAGATAACAGTTAACATTAGACTTGACAGGTTAAGATTGTAGTTATCAAGGAAGCATCCTCTTGGGAGTCTGTTCCATAGAAAAGTGGTTTGTGTAAAGAAGCTGCTCAAGTGAAACTTTACATCTCACAAATGGAATACAAAGAGAATGAGGGTGGGTCACTACAATGTGTGTGGCAGAGCAAATCTTAGTCATGAAGCTTAGAACTGGTGCCACTATAGAATGTGGCTTCATCCTGGAGAAACATCATTGGAAGGTGAAATAAGGAGTGTTTATTGGATTTTGATTATGAAGCTCTAAAGTCTATAGTGGAAAGCAAACCATAGAAAGATACTCAGGAATTAGTAAAGATGTTAAACACATTATAATCTATAATTTACCAACAGAAAGGAATAGTCAGCAAACTGGGGCTTTGGATTCAATACACAAAAATGGAAATTATTTATGATTCAAGCATAATCATATTCAGTTTGAATTTCTGAGATCATCAATTACCATTATGATACACTGTTGCGCTCATATCGGTAATTACAATCACAATATTTTGAATATTGTACACTCTTCAGTTACCTGTCATATTTTGCATTGTTCGGAATAACATGTTTTTTTTTATTCCAAAAATCAATATGTATTCTTATTGACATGATTTTTCAATAAATAAGAATTAACTAAATAAGTTAAAAAATATAAAAAATAAATTAAGTTTTCAAACCTTAGATAAATCTCTGAAGTTATTTGGCTGACTCAGGTCTAAATCCTTGGATTCGTAATTCACTATAACCCAAGGAAATATTGGATACTGATTCAAATCGTTGAATGTACGGCCTAAAAGATAAACAAAAAATTGAAAATTATTTTAAAGACAAATTTATTAATTTGATGAAACTTAATTTACTTAATTAAAATGTAAAATACATTTATAATGATCTTCATTATTTTGGTAATGTGATGATAGACTTAGTAAAAAGTAAAGGAAAAAAATTTTAAGTTAGACTTTCATTCTCAAACATGCAACCGACAAGGAACTGTTTTCATGACTAATATTTTCCTGAAAATTAAATAAGTTTAATAAATTTGTCACTTGTTTCTCCCACATGCAGTAACAATATAGAGCTAGATCTTCCCTCTAAGTGACAACAGACAGTCAATCAATCTTAAGGTTAGTGAGATCTGTTCTTTCTCCAGGAAAGAGAATATTTAATTTTCATGCTGAAAGACATGTTTTGTTGTGGGATAAGTTTTTTCTTCAATTTTGATAGTTGATTCTTTTTCAAAATTATAGAAAATTTTACTTTTTAAAGATGTACTTAATAAACATAAAAATCTACCAACTATGTTTGTATTTTTGGCTGGCAGAAACACCTTTACTATGTTTTATGATAATATTCTTATTTGTTTTTATAATTTTCAAATCTTGAAAATCTAAATTGATTTGAAAAAGTTATATTTAATAAGTAATATAAAATGAGAAAAATACATTCAAATGAGAAAAAAGTAATTCCTTCCTGGTCTTTCGAACAGGAGTAGAATTCTATTTCTTGCTTCCTGCTTAGGATTGGGTTTCTGGTTCCTTCTAAAGTCTACTTCTGCTCTATACTTTGAATCTCTCTGCCTGAACTCTAAAATTTTATTGACTAATTATTTATTTTTCTTTTTTTATGGTTCACACCTCCCCAGTCTTTTGAACAGGGGTAGAGATTTGATCGTTTGTTCCCTATTTAAGATTGGGTTTCCAGTTCCTTCTGAAGTGTTTTTATTCTCTTTCACTCCCAGTAGCTCCTTGTATCTTAGTGGCATTAACACCTTACTTGGAGTGAATTGATTAAAAAATCCCAAAAATTCTGGGGAATATTCTTTTTTGGAATTAAAATTTTAATAAATATATATAACAAAATATCAATAACAAGGTAAATTGTCTTTGTTTAAAATCATTAATTGCTTACCTGCAACAGTGTTCAAATAAACAAGGTAATCAAAATTTGAAATTTCTCTTCGTTGCCATTTCTGTGTCATATTGGATAGTTTGAACAGTTGCTTTCCAGATGCCAAGGACATTCGTCTAAAAAAAAAAAAAAAAAAAAAAAAAAAATTAATGAAAGTAGATAAATAAATGACTAAATAAATTAAAAATGAAAAAATAGTGAACTAGATTTAAAAATATATATGAGATCAGTAATTCATAACAGTTGTTATTATTCAAAATTATAAGAACACATCTAGAAAATCTTAAAGCAATTAAAACAATTACAAGTTAATTAAACAGAAGTAAATATTAATGGAGTTCAGTTGAAGCAGTTAATTGTTAACTTGTAAAAATCAAAATAAAGTCTCTTCAGATTGTAAAATTACAGATTTTGATCAGAGGATATGAAATCAGAATACATGATGCAATATGCATTTTTCTGAGAAGCCAGAAATTACTTCACCACTAGTCAGATCAAAATTTTAATATGGATATCATGCATGGCACCAAACCCATTGAGAGATGTCTAATCATCTCTATAGAACCAATTCAAGTTGTATTCTTAAATAGCCTCATCAGATGAAGACTCTCATATGGATGTCATGCATGGCATCCAATTCATTCAGAGATGTCTAAACTATCATCTCTATAGAACCAATTCAAGTTGTATTCTTAAATAGCCTCATCAGATCAAGACTCTCATATGGATGTCATGCATGGCATCCAATTCATTCAGAGATGTCTAAACTATCATCTCTATAGAACCAATTCAAGTTGTATTCTTAAATAGCCTCATCAGATCAAGACTCATATGGATGTCATGCATGGCACCAAATTCATCCAGAAATATTTAAACTGTTAGCTGTAAACAATTGATTTCTAAGATCAAGTGTTTAAAATAGCTTTGAGCATATGGTTCTTGGCGAAGACTATTCTTCTTCAAACACTGTTGACTGGAGCTACAGAATTACCAACTAAGTGTACCGGAAAACATCAACTGAGGAATTTCAACAACAGTACCATCTAAAAAAGTTATCACTTGAAGAGAAAAGAATAACCTAATCAAGATGTTGATATTCCATACATCTTTAAACAAAAAGTTAGGAAGGAAACCCCTAACTACTGGAAAGAGCTATAAAAGCTACTGGATTTGAGAAACCTATTTTCTTAAAAAAATTATTTTAAGAGACAGATTTTTCAATTAACAGAAGAACTGATTGCTCGGTCAATGAATGTCAAATGTTTCCTTATAAGGAAACAGCTATTATTATCATTAATATTATGAAAGGGTGATGAAAAGTTCCTAGCATGACACAAGAGAAATTAAAATAATATTGATTTTTGGGGGGAAATTTTGGGAAAGGAGACAGGCTGAAAAATTTTCACTAATTTGAAATTGATTTTCCAGGAACTTTTTAATTCATAAAGCTAGTGACTTTTTTTTAACACAACAAATGAAAACTGTCAAGCCTACCTTGCCTGATTCAAGCCATATCTTATGCCAATACCGACTTTTGGTAAAGCATTAACAACTTTTTTCATAGTGACGTGGTCTGGAAATGCAAACATAACTGCAGCTGAAAAAAAAAAAAATGACACCAATAAGTCCTTTTTTTAATCTTTAAGAATACTGGACATCAGTTGCAGAAAAGGACTTGGACACCAGTTGCGGGGAAAAGGACTTGGAACCAGTTAACGATGGGAAAGGACTTGGACACTTGGACACACCAGTTGCGATGGAAAAGGACTTGGACACCAGTTGCGAGGGGAAAAGGAAACCAGGACTTGGACACCAGTTGCGATGGTTGGACACCAGTTGCGTAGGGGAAAAGGACTTGGACACCAGTTGGGGGAAAGGACTTGGACACCAGTTGCGAGGGGAAAAGGACTTGGACACCAGTTGCGAGGGGAAAAGGACTTGGACACCAGTTGCGAGGGAAAAGGACTTGGACACCAGTTGCGAGGGAAAAGGACTTGGACACCAGTTGCGAGGGAAAAGGACTTGGACACCAGTTTTTTTGGGAAAAGGACTTGGACACCAGTTCTTTTGGGAAAAGGACTTGGACACCAGTTGCGAGGGGAAAAGGACTTGGACACCAGTTGCGAGGGGAAAAGGACTTGGACACCAGTTGCGAGGGGAAAAGGACTTGGAACCAGTTACTGACTTGGACACCAGTTCTTGAGGGAAAAGGACTTGGACACCACCAGTTGTTTGGACACCAGTTCCATGATGGGAAAAGGACTTGGACAAAGGGACTTGGACACCAGGGAAAGGACTTGTTCCCATTTAGGGGGGGAAAAGGACTGGACACCAGGAAAAGGACTGGACACCAGTTGCAGTTGGACACCAGTTGCAAGGAGAAAAGGACTGGACACCAGTTGCAAGGAGAAAAGGACTGGACACCAGTTGCAAGAAGTTAGAATTCATGGTTGTTAGCAAAAGGAAAGGCCCAACATGCAAACTACAAATTGGAGATATCAAAATCAAACTAGTACAATAATCTATAATATATCTGTGAAGCATTTTAATTGAGGACAGAAACTGTGACACTAAAATCCAAAGATGCATTGTGATAGTGCATGATTCCTTCCAAAATATTAAGCAAAGTATTAAAATCCAGGAAAATATAGTTAGAAACTAAGAAAAGAGTACTGAACTGTTATGTAATAACAGTCCTCCTATATGGCAATGAATGTTGGACAATCTCCTCACAGATGAAGAGGAGACTTGAAGCAAGAGAAACAAAGAAAAGAGTACTGAACTGTTATGTAATATCGGTCCTCCTATATGGCAGTGAATGCTGGAAAATCTCTTCACAAATGAAGAAGAGACTTGAAGTAATAGAAATCTATCCATTTTAACAGTAAAATGATGAAACATTGTTGTCAATCTAATACTGAGTCTAAGTACCATAGAGGAGAGTTCATTAGAACAATTAACAATTATTCATAGAAAAGGCACAGGGAAGCTATGTTACAGCAGTAGTAAAAGTGAATGATGCTGAGATGCCAGATCAGTACCAATGACATTGCAGATTATTTTTTGGATTTCGTCAATAATCTAAATATATAGCAGGGATACCCGACCATATGTGGCTGCCATATTCTATGCATAGGTGAATGGTAGACTTATAAATATGTAAGATAGATTCTGGCAGGAAAAATTTCTATTATGACATAGTCGAGTAACTTTACTAGCAGCAGTATTATCTTTCCACTTCATATTAGTGGAAAACGTTAGCCCTGGAGGTTATCAGCCATACTGATGGAAGGCAGAAATGGATCTTGCAGATAATTAATAGACAGTTTCGTTTTGGAGGCATTAAAATTAACAAGTTACTCCTTGCCCCAGTTAACAACAGATTATAAGTCATTTTTAGATCAGCTGCCAATTTGAGCTTATTGAATCAATTAGACTTAGTATTTGGTTAAAAATTATAGAAACATTAATTTTGGATTCAGCTAATCTAAATATATGAGTTTAATAGACTGGAATGCAAGTCCTTAGTAAACAAGTATTTGTAATAATATTTCCTGAAAGTTACATTCTATCATCACCAATCAGACCTCGAACTACTGCCAGTCAGGATGAATGGATGTTCCCTCGAGAAGGCACTGTACCTTGAGAGAATATTGGCCCTCAAACTCGCACCTGGCTTCAAGTGGAACTTTTCCATATGATCCATCATTAAAGATGCAGGTAAAATGATTGGCTTCCTCTCCCGCTCCAATAAGTACCTAATTTCTCATGCAATCCTCTACTTTCATAAGAGCCAATCAAAAATGGAGTATTGTTGCCATATCTTGACAGGAACTGCCCAGTCCTCACTTTCCACTCTTGACAGACTACAAAAACGTCTCAGAGTCCTTGCTGAAGAATTATTTTCCACCCTCCAACTTCTCTCACACAGGTGGCCTCTCACTGCTCTATCGCTATTTCCATGAAAAATAATCAGACAAACTACATTCCTTGGTTCTACCATGTCTAACCTTGATGATTAGCACCCACTATGCCACTTACAACATAGTGAAACCACCCACACTCCCACCATATTCCATTAGCAAGAAGTTTCACTCAAACAGCTTCTTCCCACAAACCACTGTTCTGTGGAACAAAGCACCAAGAGGATGTTTCCCAATCATTACAATCTTAACCTGTTCAAGAGTTAACCATTACCTTCCCCTCCTATCCATATAAACTAGCCATTGGTGAGAAGTAAGTTCCACTTGAACATCTTCACGCGAACCACTGCCCAAAAAACAGACTCCCCAAGAGGATGTTTCCCCAATCACTGAAATCTTAATCTGTTCAAGTCGAGTTAACCATTATCTCCCCTCCTATCCATATAAACTACCCATTGGTGAGAAAGTAAGTTCCACTCAAACAGCTTCTTCCCGTGAACCACTGCCCAGGGGAACAGACTCCCAAGAGGATGTTTCCCCAATCCCTACAATCTTAATCTGTTCAAGTCTAGAGTTAACTGCTATTTTCCCCACATATTTGCATAAACTATGCCTTTTACTCTGTAACCCTTTACCTTGTGTGGTACTTGAACCTTTTAAAGAGTGAATATAATTGTGTAAAAAACAACTATGCAAACCACTTTCATACTTGCCACCCATTCTGGGCTACTTGACACTATATATGTTTCTAGATTTCTCTATAACATAATTTCCTTATTTGTAATCACATAATGTGATATAAATGAATTTTCAATGCTTCCATTAGTAGTTAGTGCTTAAACATACATTCTTTAATCCTCTTTGTATGCTGCTACTGTCATTAAAAACTGGCATATGTTAGTATACTCCAAATTGATTATTAACTGCCATGTTAACCATTATATTCCCCTCCTATCACTATAAACTACAACTTAATGTAACTCTCTACCTCAAGTGGCTCCCAGGCCTTGTACAAGGTGAACCTTATTGTAAAAAAGAAAAAAAAATAGTTAAATATTGTCTTATCTTTCTTGTCAGGTTACTGTAATTAAAAAAAATGAAATGGACATGATTTTAAAAAGATTTTTAACCTTTACCATGTTGTATGTGATTTCATTTGCTGTACAAAAAGTTTATCCAGTTACTGAAGGTGACTGATCTCTGAATATAAATTTGTTCGAATTTCATAGTTGTGTTATCATATCCTGCTATGGCAACAGAAAACAATTTTTTTTGAGTGAAATTAACAATAAGGATACTGTAATTGAGAAACCTTGTAAAAGAATGCCGCGGAAAAAGGAAGTAATATTAATAATGCAAAGTGCTAAAGGTTAAAAAAAATCTGCTTACTTCTATTGGCTGTGAATATTTCAATAGCAACATTTTGCAGTAAGTATCTTCTTGAGAACACAGCTCTGATTTCTGAAAAATGCCACTTTCCATGGAGGTGGTCTACATATGCAAGTACCTATAAAATAAAACAGATACACATAGAGGAAAAAGCAATTTAAAAAATATCAACTCATGTAGAATAAAGTCTCTTAAAGATATTGCTTTTATTTTCCTTTTTTCTTTTTTTTAAAATGCCCTATTTGTTTTTTTTTAATCATTTCACCCCAAGCAAGGCAATAATGCAACTAAAATGCAAAGGGTTGCTAGGCGTGAAAAAAATGGGAGAGAGAGAGAGAGAGAGAGAGAGAGAGAAAAAGGAGAGAGAGAGAGAAAAAGGAGAGAGAGAGAGAAAAAGGAGAGAGAGAGAGAAAATTAGAGAGGGAGAAAAATTAGAGAAAAATATAAGGGAAAAAGAATAAAAGAAAGGAGAAAAATAAAAATTACGTAAAATGTTTAAAGAACATAACACATTTTAGTTATATTTTTAAGGAATAATGAACACAATAAAATTATGCTATTTGCCTTGTGATGTGCCTTTAAAAATGCCTTAAGCATGATGACAAACATCTTATAATTAGTATAAACAACACATGTAAGAATATATTTCTCAATAAGGCATTAAAGGATAGTTTCTTTTATTGTTAATTTTTATTTATTCTAAATATATTTTAAGGAAAAATTTATTATGACATAGGTGATGTTGTTGTGTGACATAATGTCAGACATAACGTACTGAACTAAAATTTATTTCACACCATTTTACTATAACATACATAATGTTGTCAAGTGACATAATGCTGAACATAATAAACAGAAAATTATTTCACAGCCTTTTATAATGATGTAGGTGTATTGCTGTGTGACATAACTTCAGGGTGGGGTTGGGTGATCGTTATAATGAACTGTATTGAAATTTATTTCACACCCTTTTGCAATGATGTAAGTGATGTTGCTGAATGATGTAATGTCTGTCATCCACGCACCGGAGCCTGAAGCATGCTTCACATCATCTCCAGACCACAGCTCAACGGGCATTGAGTTGGATCTGGCCAAGATCCAAAATAAACAAATTTAATTAAAACCATGCTCGCAACACAATGCTACTTCTGATGTGCTTACCTTTCTGCTTAATTTTGGTTAACAATCAAAAGCAAATACTTTTAACACAATGTTGAAAATCTGACTTGCAGTTGAAAAAAAAAAAAAAAAACAATCACAAGAGACTGACATGTCTACACAAAAAATAAGACCCTGTCCAGTGGCAAAAGCTGCCTTATCCACTGTAACTGTATTACCTCCCCTGACTGGCAGCTGACAAAGGGCAAGGTATCTCATGTGCTATCACATGCATGTAGAAAATTACATGCCCTTTCATTATGACATAAGTGACATTGCGAAGTGATATAACATCAGACATAAATAATTGAACTGAAATTTATTTAATGAACATCCTTTTATGACAGAGTACATTGCTGAGTGATGTAATGTTGGATGTAATGGCATTCACTGAATTGAAATTTACTCTAGAAAAGTGGTGTACAGGCAAATTACATGTAGGCCAAAATGACAAAGCAAAGTGTTACTGTATTTTCTTATGTCAAAAATTATTTCAGAAAACATTGAGTTGAATATATTTCATCTCATCCCCCATATTTTTCTTCTTCTTTGCATTGAAGTCAGAAAAACAAATATGGTTGATGAGACTGAAAGTCGTCCATTTTTATTGATTAGGAAGAAATCTCAGCATGAATCTGTAGGATTTATTTATAAATTTGGAGAGGGGATGTTCTTAGCCATCATTCCATAGATTGGAACCAACATAACACTTGACCACAATTTATTCAAATAGAAATAAATATACTGTATATTTTACTTATTTATACATACTTGAGGGGATATTTTCTTGTTATCTTTATCTTCTTCATCCATTTCAAAATATAGATCTGTTTTAGTGATGGACATTATTCCTGCAATTGCTAGTCCCATAGAAATAAGCTTACATGAAGTTGACAATGCTACAGGTCCTGAAATAAGAAAGAAAAAGCAATTGTATTTTATTAATAATGAATATAAATTCCTCCTTGCAAAAGACAATATTATTATATAATAACATTAACATTTAAGGTACTAATTTTTTTTCATAATCCATTTGAAAAGAGAGAAATAACAAATATATTTAATAAGTAACAATCAAAATGAGAAAATATTAATTATTGTTAATTACTTGTATTGTTATAACTGCAAACACTTCTACACCAAACATATCTTTTAGTTGGTCTGTTATAAATCAATCACAGGAAGGAGAAGATTAGCAACATCAAAGTCTAGTTAAGGACTAATTTGCAAAATTAATGCTGGAAGCTAAGAAATAGATTTTCACCTTAAGAGCAATATTGACTAAATTTTTTCAGTATATTTTAGCATATCAAAAAAGAGGAAATAAATACTTTTTTATTTAGTGTATCCTAATAATTGTATACACTGTGCAGAAGGAAGCATATATTTATAAAAATGCACAGATTTTAGTTAGGTTAAAAATATGTGTATAATTAATTATGCAAAACAACTAATAATGCTAGTAAATACGAAGAAACTAAATTATGCAAAAGACACACTCACTATATTCTGACAGAAATGCTGAGGATACAATGGACAGAGCAAATGAGAAAGTTTTAAAGAAAATAGGAATGGCAAAGAAATGATAAAATAATTGGGAGACATAAGGAAAGAAAGTTTGGAGAATTCAACACTCACATGATGTGTCAATAGCAAGAGAAGCAGAGGAATGTAATGAGTAACCTATTTAAAATGTTTAAACAAATGGATGTAAGTACCACAAAGACAAAGGAATAAGTATTGCCGAGATCAATAAAAGACAGGAAGATGTGGAGAGCCATGACCATCCTTGTCCCAAAGAGATATGACAAAGAGAGAGAAGAAAAAGGAAAGAGAGAGGTTCTTACAAAGCATGATCATTGTGTTTTTGTTTTATCATTTAAGAAGTTCCTTAAAATCTTTTTCAAAAGTAACATCTTGGTCAGCAGTAAGAAGAAACACATTTGAGCTAGCATGTTAATACTTGCTAGGTTTCCAATCATTTTCTTAGAAATATGCAATAAACAAGAGAAAATTAGTATAGAATGTGTATCTCTTATAACCTTATAATACTATTTTTTTTATTGTTCACCCAAGACCAGTGGCATAGTTATAGGGTGCAGTCTACCCTGGATGGATGTTGGATTTAACAGCATGTCAACTCCTATTTGCAGTCTACCCTGGGCAGTATTTTTATGGGGGTGACATTTTTGTGCCTGCTGTAGAAATAAAAGGGGTTTTAATATTGGGGCAGTGCTTAGTTGAAGGAACTTTTTGATTTTGAGTAACTATGGTGTTGTTATAAAATAAATTAAGACATATCTCGGCTGATTTACAGGCAAATAAACTAACATACTCAAGAGCAAGGACCGGATATGAACGGGACAAGGCCCCATCACAAAATGACCATTATCTTCGTTTACGCATGTTCCCAACGCACGAGTTCCAGTCGAAAAATAAAATATTTTAAAGTGTTTCTATTTTTCGACCAATAAAAATGCTTCCCTCCTAATTATACTTGCGTCGTTTTTCAAGCCTGTTAAGCCATAAAAAACGCCATAAAAGGGGTCACACGGAAGTACAACGGCAGTCAACAGGAGGCCAGGAAGAGACCTGTCACGGTCAGGTTAGCAGTCAGCAGCAGCAGCAGGATGAGCGCCACGCCAACCAGTGAGAACTACTATGAGAGATCAACCCAGATCTTCAGCCAGCCTTATGAACTATACCACAAGGTAGCTGTCCCAAAACCACGTTCCTATTGAAATAAATCACATAAATCTATTTCTGCTGTTGTCGTATTTTTTTCTTGCAACCATATGCTTGTCTATAACACTGGTTTCAGCCATTGCGTCAAGAGAAATTTATCATACACTGAGTAACATTTGAAAAACTATTTACTATTTATTTAATTCAAATGAACAGATTGTCCTTGTTCAACTTGTCCATTTCCAACAGATATCTTGTCTACCACTTTTGTTTTTAAGACTGTTAAACGACATGCTGACTGCCTTTCTCCTCAACAACTTTTACACCTCCCACCTCAAACAAACAGTAATTGCCACTTAATGATGAATCAACAAGCTATAATCCACTGTCTTCTAGAGAGAACTTTTCAACCAAGACATGACCTGAAACCTAATCTGCTCTAAACAAAGCATACACAATCCACATCATGCCAGAACTCAGCACCTTATCCCAGCCTGGAATGCGAATTGCGCCAAGTCTGCTTTAAATTATTTATTTCCAAAAAGTATCTTTTCAGCAGATGGTTGATCAAAAACCACATATCCACCTTTTTTTAAAACTGAAGGAATACTTATTAGGAGCCCATACTTGGCATCCAGATTTCTTCTTCCAACACCTCAGTAAAGCCTACAAAAATTGGAACGGCGAGATGGTGAAAAATTAATGACTTTATGGGGTCGAAAAAAATCAAAACAACCTATAGTTTATCAGCCGTTCATCATAAAAAAAAACAAATACAAAAAAGACAAAAAAAATGACTTAACAGGTCGATGGACTTTTTTCCATCATCGGCGGTATGCTAATGAGCTGAAAAGGTGAAAATTTCCCTTTCAAATCTTTTACCCTTTCTCGTCAAGACAATGGACAAACACTATTCAGCCATTGGTATAAAGGCATATTTCAAATATATATATATCATATATATAAATATAATATATATAGTTTGTAGATCATAAAACATTCTTGGTATTTTACATAGAAACCATATATTTAAACCAAAGAAGTGTTGCATTGAACCCAGCAGCCAACCAAACTACTTTTGCAGACGGAACTTTGGGGTTCCCTCCCTGAACATGGATGTCCGACCATAAACCATCACCATACACCAGGAACCAGCGTGGAACAAGAACAACCTCAGAGGTCGCCCCATGCCTCCATGGACACAATCTCCCATATCGCCACCTTGCTGCCAGAGGTTTTATCATCATACCCAGGCCCATATCGACAAAAATGAATTGATAATATGAAATATAAATGATGTTGGAACAGGATTTTTCAAGATACCAAATTGATATTTTCTTAAACCATTAATTCCTGTGCCCCACATCAAATCCAGTATCAATTATAAAATTCAATATAAATGATGTCTGCCGCACGTCCAGTCCACCTTCAACTTCTGTCATCACAGTCCTTGACCGAATGAGGTGACTCTTATCCACCTCCATGAATTCTTGTGGTCCCAGAATGTTTATAAACTTCATGGCTTCTCCAGAACTATGCAAAAGACTCACAGTATCAGAGAATTTTGACAAGAAGCAGTCATCACCATTAGAGACTATCTGTGCTGAATCACAATATCAAAAAGGTTATTGTGTAAGTCATTAGGGGTTGTTAATCCTGCACAAAATATCCTATGATAATATGACACTGCCATTCCTATCTAATCAACAACTAAAATCAGAAGAATTTCTCCAGTGTTGCAAAAGGATAAAACAACAAATATAACTAGCAATCATATCACTGTTTTCGTCAACCAACAATCCAAAATATATTTCGCCCAAGCCACGTTATCCAAAAAAGCCTAATATTGAACCACAGCCCAACATCCAGACACTGGATCAAAAACTAACCTGGCTAAAACATGGAAAATCAGACTATGGCCTCTAAACCACTTGAACCAAAGACGTCCTTGTGAGGCCACTGAAACTTGGACAAATTTGCTACACTGACATTGTTGGCACAAAAATAAGTCAACAAAATTCATCAGACCCATCTGCAAACCAACCAACGAAACCTGCTTGGAGCCAAAAACAACAAACAATCTCGCTAGAGAACTACAGTTCAAATTGAGATAAACATTCTCAAACCGATACAAAACAGTTTTACATGGAAGGACCCCAGCTATCTGATGCTTGTACACTTCCTGGCCTTCAGCCTTACATCTGCCGGACAAATCTTCTCCCACAGAACTAGCAGAAGCCCTTTTAGTGATGGTCACATCCTGTGATAATATTTCTTCCAGTTTGAAAATTACCTGGTCCAAAGACAAACATTTAGACAGCATGTTTTATTAACTAAAGAAAAATTTTTTACTGCCCTCCGAAAATTTGGACTGAAAATGCTGAATCCAGATAAATGTTCCTTCCTCACATCAATCAAAATTCACATCGAGGTAGTAAACAGTGAAGGATTTTTTCTAGGCTGATCCAGAATACATTTAAATATCATCAGGGTAATGAAACCTCCAAAATCAAAAAAAATTATCAAAAATGCCTTATCGGCCGTTTAAATTTGGATCAGACAATTTTTGAGACAAAAAAACATCATTAAACAAATCAGGTCAGATATGGTTTCAAAAACTTATTTATTTGCATACAAATGGTTCAACAAGGTCAATGAACCATTTATCTGGACGCAAAATCTGCCGACAGAGCCTTAAAAAAAAAATCAAGGACCGATATAGATATTTTCGCCACCCATTTTCTTGTTTCATTTCTCCAAACTTTTCACAGAGATAACTACTTCTGCCAGTGACGTCAACAAACATGGAGCAATCTTAATGCAAGAAATGAACAACGGGAAGAAAAGATATCATAGTGGTCGCATACATTCAACTCCACAACAGAACTGGTCCAAATGACAAAATGAGAGGCATATGCATGTAAAAAGGCAATATTCCAAATTTGATTATTTTCTTGAGTTCAGCCCTTGTTCATCTTCACCCCACAGATAAATGACATATCTGGACCAATGAGAGTTCAATAATGCCAAAATAGATGATGGCAAGAAGAAATTTCATGTTATAAATTCGTCTTTTTTGCTTTTTTTTTTTTTTTTTTTTTGACACAGTTTTAACTTATTGAATACATTAAAAAAATTGCAAATTTTACTTGTAGTGATTC